AAAAAAAAAAAAAAAAGGTAGATGTCTCAACCCCTATATTAGAAAATATGGGTATTTCAATAAAAATTCCAACCATCCTTTATCCTAAAAGACTCATTGCTATTATTAGTGTACATTGTTCACTACCATGAGAATCACAAAAAAGCACACTATTCAGTTGGTTTGAGTCCATCAGTGATCCTATAAAAATGACACAACTCAGCCATTAAAGTGAGAAAAGTGGGCCCTACCTGGTGGCACAGCACTAAGAAGCTAAAACCACTTCAGCATGAATTCGATCCCCCTCCCCAGAGGTGATCCACATGGTGCTGCAGACCTCTCAGGACCCACCTGCTGCTCCCCTCAGCAGTGTACTTCATCTGCCAGCCTGTTCTGCTCCCCACTCTGTCTCTGGTGAATCTTCTCACCGCCCTGTCCTCTGGCCTGTACCCTAGTTTTGTATGCACAAATAAATAAATCTTTAAAAAAAAGAGAGAGAGAAAACTTCTACTTCTTGAGGAACGCAGATTTTATGGAAATGAATCAAGTAGTCTATACAGTAATCAGTTACAAGTTCGGCATATTCATAAGTACTAGACTCAAAGCCATGTCCTATAGTATTCAAAATTTCACTTGGCTTTTTTATTACTGAGACCTTACTGTTGTGAAAATCTATTCTTTCCTGTAACCGTGGCAAGGTTTTTGGCACAGATTCAATACAAAAACATCTAGAATCAGGGAACCATTTTATATCAAAATTTTAAACACTGAGGACCAACAGTACTTACTACAGATTAAAACAGAAAAAAAGACTAAAAAATTAAGAATGACACATAAAGAAAAAATTTATGTAAATGGCTAATCCGTTCAATTGCTTGTCATACTTCTTAAGCTGGTCATGACTGGCAGGAACTAGTTAACAGAGATTGATGAGAACAGATGGAATAGCATTAGTAGCCACAGTCACTTAGCTGGATCAGTGGAGACCAGCATAACAAGAAAAGTGGTAGCTGCATCTTAAAGGCACATGAATACCAACTACTAAAAGGAAACTTTCACAAAGCAAATTAACTTCAAACTGGAGATTAAATTATTAATATAACTAAGGTCTTGATAAATCAAGCATTTCTACCATAAAATCTTTAAAGCAGAAGCCATATTTTTTTAAAATTAATTCTAATACATCATGTTCTTCTTAAAAGTTTCATTAACTCATTTTTTTAACTTTTTAATTGAAATAATTACACAAGAAGGCTGCATAACTGCTGCACAATATCAAAACCAAGACTCAGACATTATTATAAACCACTTAGCTCATCCAGGGTTCATGAACTATATATGAGAAAGTGTATAGAGCTAAACAATTTTATTCGCATGTATAGATATGGATAATATAGTCATTACTAGGACCAAGAAATTCAACTGTGTCATCAAAAAATCCCCTATGTAACCACCTTACAGCATTAGCATTATTACAGCTAGCATTATTTTATAAAAAATTAGTTAACAAAAAGTGATTTCATTGTCCCATTTTTAACTGTTTTATCAAAAACAGACACATCTACTGAGGAGTAGGAAATAACCCTGTAGGAACTTACTTTCTTTTTTTATTTTTTTAAATATTATAATAGTTAATTTTTAGGTATTTTTGTGCATTTTCCATCTCAGTTGCAATCCCCTTGGGTTTCCCATCAGAAACTTTCTTTTATTTTGTTTTAAGTCCTCTATAAATCCAAGGCTTAAAAAAAGCAAACAAGAGGTCAGAATATGAAAGGAAATGTGGAAGGTGGTGACAATTGTCTACCAACAAAAAGAGGTTAGTGGGGCTACACAGCGGAAGTTCAGATAATGGCTGAATAGATGCCCCAAATTGAGTAAAACAAAGCAGCCCAAATTTTTTAACAACTTCCTAAAATAGACTGACTTATTTAAGAAAACAATGAGGTGTTAAACAAGTTTTTATAAATCATAAAGGGAAAGAAATAAAATATTACTCCACAGTCATGTATCTAAACATTGTTTTATTAAATTTGTCATTTCACAGTAATATAGATTGCTTAGGTTTACAAGTCTACTATAGAGTCCATTTTATTCTTATTAAAATAAGTGGTATCAGATAAAAATTTTAAAATCAGAACGTATCTTTGTACATTTACCTAGAATATTAAACAATACCATTAATAAGCTTTCTCAAAAAATGCAGTAACCAGTAATCACATCTAAGGAAATTAGTGTTAAGTTCCTTAAATAATTATTAGCAGACATGCACTATAAAAAAAAAAAATCAAGTTACTGTACTTAATTCATTTTGTAATTCTCCCAAATCCAATACTTACATTCAAATTTTAGGATCCAGCATCCACTGAGAATCCCAAGCATACATTTTAGGGTACTCTGAACTGTGTCACCAGGTACAATGACATGAGTTACTAGAAAAATAGAAAACACAGCAAGAGATGCGGAGATAAAGAAAAACATAATTATTTAATTAAGTTTATATTTTAAAAAGTATCTGAATTTCCTTCAAAGTCAACAATTTTTATAGTGAGGATATGTCTTTTTTATTTACTATCATTCTTTAACCTGGCCAAGTAGAAAAAACCATATCCCCAATCATATGTTACATTAGCAAACTTCATTTTTTTCAAATTACAACAAAGTAATTAAAAACATTATATTGCACTACAATTTGTCATTAACAAACTCACAAATCTGTTCTGATACACTGTTCTAAAAAATACATGTAAGGTTTAAACTTTACACTCCTAGCTAAAATTAAGCCTATAAGCAGTTCGTAACTATACAAACATTTTAGATTTCTTTTAAGGTTTAATAATATCTAAATGGCTAAAACATATATAAACTGTCAAAGAGAGTTTTACAAAGTAATTTCATATTTAAAGTTTTTTCATCAAGCACAAATAAAATTTCTCACCTGTACTGTCAAATTCAGCACATTTTTTAGCTTTAAGAATTGCTGCAAGCTCACTGAGCATTTTCTGTTGTTCAGAAGAAAGTCCACTACCTATAAGTACAAGAGGTCCATCCCTACGCTGACCAGTATTCACCTGTTAATAAAAAAGAAGATGCCACAATTTTTAACACAAACAGAAAATAGACTGAATTGGCCTTAGAAACTTGAAATTCACTGCTTAGCTTTACTCAATCTATTAAAAGTAATTCCCAGTAATATCCACTGAATCATCACGATGTAATTCACTTGATGTTCAAAGCATTTGAATAGTTATTTTTCTCTTTATCTCCTCTCCTATCACTAAAACACTACCTGTGACAGTTCTCTATAACTCAGGGCGCATCTTGTTTACTTGATTCTAAATGGAGTTTTGCTAGACCCAGTTCTATAAACAATAGCCTATTTTTCATCTGAACAACCCTAAGTATTCTTTCAAAATTATCAATTCCCTCTCTCTTCCATTAATTTACTTCCAGTGCAATTAAATTCAACTAAGCCTGTTTAAACTGAAAATATGTGAAAAATCAAAGGAATACAAACTTCTGTAATGCTACTGATCTCAAAAACAGAATCATTTTCATCATCAAAATCGCCACTTCTCTCAAAAATCAAGATGATGAAAACAGAGAAAAGAATATAGAAGCTTGATCAGATCTACCAATAGTCAACACAGTTCATGAAAAGGAAAGCAGTGCTCTAACAAAAAGTATTATTTTCATTCTAATAAAAGACTTTGAACTTATGCAGAAAAAAACAAAAATTTTAAAACTCACCATGGAATAGCATTTTAAGATTAAAAGCAGAGGATTCAGGGCCTCCCTGGTGGCACGGGATGGTAAAATCTCAGGTCTATACTGGCTAGGGAGCCACATGGTACAGCAAACCTCTCCTGTCTCGCTCCCTGCTCCCCTCTGTACTCTGAAGGGTACTTCAGTAGATCCACCTGTTCTGCATCCTATTCTGTCTCTGGTGAATCCTCTCATCCCCGCCTCTAGAATGCACCCCAATTCTTGTATGCATAAGTAAATAAAAATCTTTTAAAAATTAAACAAAAACAGAAGATTCACAGAATGACAGTACCTTCAATAGCACCAACAGAAATTTAATTAATGGAACAGAATGAGGGAGGCAAAAGCTAAGAGAGAAATAATGATCTAGGAAAGAAGAAAAGGTTAACCAGTATTATGTGCTAACGGATAAAATGTGAAACACATTACAGTAATTTCAAGACATAGGATCCTAACATGTGGGAGTGTGTATGTTATTCAGGACATCTGGGCTCTGAAGAACATTAGTAAAACACTAAAGGTTTGTTCACTGGTGTAATTCAGTAACTAAATTTTTTAAAGCTGACATTTAAATATTTATTTCACAAATGAAAGTGGTAAAAACTTATCCAGCCAGATGCATTATAATATTAACTGTATCTAAATCAACAATATCTAAATTGATGACAACTATATAAACATATCCATCTAAATAATTCACTCACTCAAAATACATTAAATGAGTCAACTGTGTATTAATCGCAAGTATGTATACATTTTTAAAAAAGATTTTTGTTTTAATATCAGTATTTAGCACTTAGAAGTTCAGTTCCCTGCATTAATTATTCCTCTAATGTTCAAGTTACAAAGGTTTTACTGGACACGATGACACACATCACATATTCCTATTTCTATTCTATTCCTTTCTTATTCATTAACGTATAATATCACATAACCACATCTAACCTAAATATCATAAATACAGCTTAACCTGAAAATATTTCTATGTACTTTATGGATTGTTCTATTACTATAATACTAAAAAATAGTATTTCAAAAATTCTTGTCAGTTATACAAATAAGTGCTATAAAAATAGTTTTCAGTGGAACATATTATATTTCAGCTCAAGTGAGTCTTTGCAAAAATAAAAGAATGAAAGATATCAATTTTAAATATAGCACATGATGCTATTTTCACCAAGGAAAACACCAAAGTAGGTCAAGCTTTTTCCTATCACTTTCTAAACTTTGTTAAAAAATAAAAACTGCAATAATTCCTTACAGTTAAGTAATGTTATTTAAAAAAAAAAAAATCTTAAAAGCAAACAGCTGCTAGAGTACTATGTCTGAGTTTGGGCTGAGCATTTGATGTGAATAAGCAGGTACCTCAAAAACATGAAATTCTAAGGACATTCAAAAAATATCCCAAAGAGTCAACAGCCTGTTCATAGAGACTAGACAACTGTGTACATTGGCAAACTCTTATTTAAAGAGTAAGCCTATATGAAACTTTTCCTTAGATAAATTGGTTATTATTAGTTTATCAAAATTAGTTTATCAGAAACAGGATTTAAAAACTATGGGGAAAATGCAAAAGATAAACATGCTGCTCAAAAGGATCCTGGCAGGGAAGTCCCAAATGAGCATCGTGAGCAGCGTTTGCAGTCCAGGAGCTTACAGGTTAGGCTGCTTCTCAGATTTAAAGCAGTGCTTTCCTGCCCTCCCTGGTGGCACAGTGGGTTGGTACACTGCACTGCAAAGCTAAGCCAAGCTGTGGCTTCAATCCCTGCCCTGGAGGTGACCCACATGGCACAGCAAACCTCTCCTGTCTCACCCGCTGTTCCCCTCAGCAATGTTCTTTGTGGATCTGCCTGTTCTGTTCCCCACTTTTCTAGTGAATCCTCTCACCACCCATTTCTGTATGAATAAATAAAATCTTACCAAAAAAAAAAAGCAGAGCTTTCCAACAGCCTATAATTCTCACGTGCAACCACAAAATGGCCTGGATGAACATACTAGGAATGAAAATGGAGGTTGTGGGGAACTGCTAAATGGGAAGTAAAAGGAGTCTAAGTCCCATCCACTGCTTAGCCTCCCCTTCTACGTGACAGTTTCCTTGAAGCAGTTCCCAAAACGTCATGATTTGAAGGATTTCAGACTCAGTTACCAAGCGCTTCCTGATTTCAAGTGTTTTATCAGTTTCAAGGACCCTCTAGGGCTCATTCATGCATTCAACACACACTTGTTGAGTGTCCACTATTTGTCAATGCTATTCTCAGAGCTGGGGCTGAACATAAAAGGAAAGTCTCTGACTCACATAGTGTATATTCTAGTTGTGAGAGGAAAAAACAAAAAAAGTAAAAATACATCATGTCAGCTGACAGTGGTATGCAAAATAAAAGCCAGTCGGCAGCCAACAAGCACTGGGAGGTGCTATGTGGCAGATGACAGCACAGTCCTTCTGGCAGGACCAACTGGAGAGTGTTTGAAGGGAGTTGGGGGAGTACCAGTGTAGACACCTGGTCCCTACCACTGTGCAAAGGGCACAGGTTGGTGGTTTCCAGACAGCAAGGCAGCCTATGTGCCTGAAAAAGAGTAAGGGAACCCGACAGTGACAAACATTCCAAAGCTTAATTTTTTTTCTTTTTTTTAAACAAAGCTTAAATTTTATGTACATAAAGAAATCACCTTTCCTGCTTTGATGAGGGGATGGTGTGATACATTTGTAGTGGGGTGGACCCTATACCACTAAAACAGAGCGTTGTAAACCAATGTTATTTTACCTCAATGATTTTTCAAGAAACAAGCTACTTTTTTTCACATTTTGGAGAGCTATCTTATAGTGGGAGTACCATTTAAGGGAAAGTTTTCTACTTTTGCAGCCCATAGCATCCTATTAGATCCCTTCTAAAATTTTCACCTGAAAGAGCTTTAACACCTTCTCTATCACCTTCTCTCCCCAATCTCTCCTGAAGTGAGCATCTTTTCTCATGATTGTACCATCCACTGCAAAGGCTTCTATTACACTTTTACTACATGTGTAATAACACTTTTGATATCTATATTCACCACAAAACTATAGGTTCCTGAGAAGCATTCTTGCCATTTTAGCTCTAGTTTATACCTTTCTCCTAAACTGCAGACTCACCTATCAACTGTCTATTTTAAGTCTTATAGATATAAAGTTGGCAGAGAGCTATTAATTTCTTTCTCCATGGGAGCAAAGGGCATCACCATGTACTCCGTTGCAACAGTTATACTAATTCTACTCCTTCCCATGTCACCATATATAATCCATCAGAAGTTCTGCTTGCATTAACTCAAAGCTCTATGCTATACTTCATAACATCGTAATCTCAATTGCAATTATTTTAATCCAGGTAATTATGGTATCTCTATTCTGTCACAATCAAACAGTTCTAAATAATCTCCACTTTTGCCCCCAGCCTGTAGAAGAACAAAGCTGCCAGAGTGAAATTTCTAAAGCATAAACCCAACCAAGTTCTAAAGCATAAATCATGTTATTCCCTTGCTTTCAATCCTCTCAATGATTTCCCATTATTCTTAGACTCTTCCTAGTCTCCAGAAATAATATTAGACTTTCTTTCAAACATGCCACACTCATTCAGAGGACCTGTATATTCGCCATTCATCTTGCTTAGAACACTGATCCTCCAAATACTCATCTACACCTCCTTTATCATTCAGGTTCAAATCACCCATTCTTTATAGGTTTTCCTTATCCCTTGCTAAAGCAGTCCCTTTTCTGGAACCCATCATTTCCCTCAATTACAATCTACATAATGTTCAAATCACTAAAACTGTCAATTTCTAAAATTATTTATACTTGTTTACATATGTCTAGCTTGTCCCTTTCCTCTCACTACATTGTAAACTCCTTAAAAATAAGAGTTTTATCACCCATATTTATTGTTGCCCAAAATACAGGAAGGGCCAATAAATATTTGCTGATAAACTTATTTAATTATGTGAATTCATGGTGGCTAAAACACAAGAAGTGTTCAATAATTGTTTGGTGAATGAAAGCAATTTGCTAACTGGAAATTTTTCCATTAGGTTCTTTTCATGACCAGTTTCAATAAAAGATATAAATTTCTCTAAGCTAAATCCATACTTACTACTGAGCTATGGCTAGTTGATGATTCATTCTTCCCTGGTAGTAGCAACAGCGATTTCATATCTTCACTGTCTGTATAATCCACAGGCCGCAGACCAAATATGTTACTGGTAAAACAAGTGCAGATGGGTTTAAGTAAATAAAATGTGTGACCTGGTTATTAACTAAGTAATATATTAGCAGAACAACTGTTTCAACCTCTTTAATAACACAATTTGAACTAAAATAAATGACTCACAATTCATATAAAGCATAAGGATCAAGTATCACAAGCTGCTAAATTCAAAGGGGAAAAAAGATGTAATATTTTAACCTGACACCAGACCATATAGGGGATATTTTTAATTGTATATATTGTTACTTACACATAAATGTTTTTACAACTCTACATTATTTTACATCCATATTTATATTTTAAAATCTGCCCTCCTAATCATTAATCACTATGGGTGAGTTATTTTCAAATGCAAATAAAAATAATTTACTATAGCTATTAAAGGCTATTATTGTCTCCATAAACAAATACAGAGTTAAAATTCACAAGGATAAGCAGATTCCACTAGAAGACAAATAATGCCAAATGACAAACAATTTAATTAGATAGTATACGGGGCACTTGTAACATTAATTTAACATGTATATATATAATCTCTACTAATCAGTCATTAAAGAACTGATTTGGTTCAGAGAACAAGTTGATGCTGATGTCTCAGCATATAATAATTCCCAAATCACAGAGTATTACTCTGCCAGAGATTTTATATAACTGTTATTTCAAAGGAGAAAGCAAAGAGAGAAAGGTTCCAATAACTTGATCAAGATCACACTTTCCTTGTTTATTCCAGCAATCTACAATGATATCTATCACTAGTCTTCAGTGATATCACTAGTTTATTCTGAATAAACTGTTAAGACTATACAACTTTTGTCTACTGCTACATTTATTTACAAATGGCTTCAAAATGATTTTATTATATTATACAATGGCAGGAAGCTTCTAAAGTGCACACTTCTTTATAATTTTTATGGCTTCTATTTTTTTTAAGATTTATTTATTTATGCATACAGAATTGGGTACAGGCCAAAGGTGCAGGAGCAATTAGAGGATTCACCAGAGACAGAGTGGGGAACAGAACAGGCAGAGCGGTGAAGTAGGAGAGCAGGGGGCAAGACAAGAGATGTCTGCTGAGCGATGTGGATCACCTCCCTTGCTGGATCAAACTTGTGTTGAAGGGGCTGCGGATAGCTTCATAGTGCTGCGCTTTAACCAGTTGAGCCACAGAGGGCTTTTTAGGCTTTTATAATGGGATAGCCATATAACGGCAATTAAAAGTTGATGTGTAAATGCAATGTGTTAAACAGGATTTAAAATGATAAGCATGGTATAAGATCTTTTTTTAAGTATTAAAACTGTACAGAAAAAGATCCAGAGCAAACAGTGAACCATTAGGGGAAGGTGCCAAATCTGTCTGATGCAATGCTGCATGGAGGACACGTGAGGGATTTCACCAATTGGATTTAGAGGCAAGATCACTAGTGACCTTGCAGAAAAACTGCCTGATGGCAGAAGAGGAAAAGAAAGCTTAGTAGTTTATGAAAAGAAGCAAAGCAAATGTTTCTCTAATAACTGCTATTCAAGAATATCAGATTCAGTCATTCTTCATGGGAAAGTGGTAGATAAATAAGGATCAAGTGATATTCTCAGATTCCCTTTAGGTTTGACTCCAATAATGCGTAACCCTCTTTTAGCAATTTTCTTTCTCCAGCCAAGGTATAATATAATCAATTATATTTCAGCTTTCTGAATTTCAACAAAGCAACACTGTTTTAGAATTTAGGCCTTCCCAAATTCCTCCTATGTATTTAGAGCAGACTGTCAGCATGCTGCAAAATTAACAGATCTCATCCTCTATACCTGATACATCAAATTTCATTCTCTAAATTAATAGAATAATCCCATATACCACATGAGCAGTCCCTTCAGACACCTATGCTATAAGCACAACAATCTAATACAGAAACTGAAGTTAAAGAACCAATATCTTACTTAGGTCTTAAACCAAGCACTAAAATGAATGAACAAAAATAGATAAACTACAAAACATGCCAAGAAAAAATCATGTTCATGCAAGAACTTTTTGCACAAAGACAAATGCAGATTTTAGACTTCAAAGAAATAAAACATAATGGTTCAATCTAGTGCACTTCAATGCACAGCATATATGAATAATTCAAAGTCCACTATGACATGAAAAAAAGTTAATGAAAGTACTTCCCAAAGTACTATCATCATCAGTTAGCCAAAAAATGATCAACTTATAAGTTAGATGTAAGTAAGTAACCAAGCAAGATGCTTTATTATCTAAATTGGATTTAGAGGCAAGATCACTAGTGACCTTGCAGAAAAACTGCCTGATGGCAGAAGAGGTGGCTTAACAGGTTAAAAGCACAGCACTGTGAAGCTGGCCACGGCCACTTCGGTGAAAGTTCAATCCCCACCCTAGAGGTGATTCATATGGCACAGCAGACCTCTCCTTTCTGGCCCGCTGCTCTCCTCAGCTGTGTACTTCATAGATCTGCCTGTTCTGCACCCCAGTCTGTGTCCAGTGAATCTTCTCAATACCCCTGCACCTCTAGCCTATACCCTAGTTATGTATGCATAAATAAATCTTTAAAAAAAAAAAAGAACTGTTTCATAAAATGACTATCAGTATTCTTACTATACAAAGTTTGTCATACGTAGTCTTTACACACGTGGACAGCCTCTGCTTATATACAACTCACTCAACATTCAGCTTTCCTATATTGTTAATGAAGTAGAAAATGACACATTGCAAGCGCTACAGATTAAGAGACAACTCATTAAATCTCAGTCCTATCTCACAGGTGATGGGTGTATTGTATATTGCCAAGTTTCTGCATGGTTCAATGAAATTTGGGACTAAATACAAGTTTTTAAATGCAATCCCTTTAGAAACTATAACAGAAGAAAGTAGGGCACATGTAAGATTTCTCCTTTATTATGTGGGCACAAAACATTTTCCCCGTAACAATGTGAACTGGCTAACACAGAATTAGCATGAAAACCAATCTGAAATGCACATAAATGTATTTACTCTTGAAAAAAAAAATCAGTAACAAATGGAAAGAAAATTTCACATCACAGGTACAAGGGAGTATCAGTGACTAATTACTAATGGGAGATGGTGATAAATCAGTTATTCTACATCACTACACAGAGAAAAAGTATTTTTTCCCAGTTCTGTTACAAGACAATAAACTCAAAATAAGTGGTTTTATTAGAATGGATTCTCAAGGGAGCTTAGAGTTATTTTTTTCCTAAGGTGTTCTTAAATTTAGCATGTTCTCTATTTTCTAACACTTTAACTTAATGTCTTAAAACTTAAAAGTAGATATTTTGGAAGGTCACATAAGACTCAGAAAACACTTTTACCTGTAACTATACTGAAGACAAATGCTCCTTCAATAGGTAAGTAGTATTTTTTTGATTATTCAAACATTTTACATGGTCACTAGCCCAGAAAATATCTTTTATTAATTTCCATTTCCATTTCTCATAACACAGTAAATTAGCAGATTTTACCAGTACTTCTTTAGTTGTGACATTAAATCATAATTTTGAAAATGTTTCATGTAAGACTTCAAGACATGATTAAAGACTTTTAATGTACTTTAAAATTCTGACATAAAATCTTGACAGATTAAATGCTCATAAATTATTGCTTTTTTTACTACTGAAAAACTAAGTATTATAGAATCACTACTACTACAGATTGGCAGAGTCTATATATGTTAATATACAGATTTCAAAACTAACAATCATTTAATCGCTTGTTTAACTCACAGAGTGAAGAATATGTCCCCATACTCTAAGGGAAAATGTTAGCAAGAGGACTTCTTAATCAGCTTGGCAAATATTCATTCACTCAGCCAACAACATTAAGAACTATTTTGGTCAATAAAGTACCTATAAGGTTAAAGAGAGTTTGTCTTCAGAGCTTAGCCGGGCAAAACTGAGGGAAGCAAACAGGTGGAAGGAACTTACAAGTCAGGTACAACTTGCTAGTTGTGAAAGGAGGGGGGAAAAAAGGAAAGAAGTAGAACAAGAGTATCCCAACAGAGAGAAAATTTTACATGAAGGCCTTAAAGTGATAGTGTGACACTTAGAAATAGAAAAATAGACAGACCAAAAAGAGATGTAAGAAGAGAAACGGCTGGAGTGGGGGTAGTGGGGGGGGGAGGGGTGTTCTGGATGCCACCATTTAGATTTTAAGCAGGAGGGACCACATCAATATGACAAGGCAGCTATGAGCTGGGGTTACAGGATCAGACTGCCTGAATTCACATATGATCTCTGCCACTCAGAAGTTGTTTGACTTTGGACAAGTTAATTAATGTCAAGTCTGTCTCTGCATCTATAAAATGGGGATAGTAATAACCTACTTTATAAGACTGTTGTGAGGACCAAATGAATTAGTACATCAAAGACATTTAAAATACTGCCTGGGAACTAGCTCAATTAATTGCTAGCTATTAATATCTTTAGATTTACATTTTCTGAAGACAGATAAAAATGAAGATAGGCCCTCCCGGGTTGGAGCGCTGTACTGTGAAGTTTAGCCGAGCTGTGGCAGCTTCAGTGGGAGTTCAATTCCAGCCTTGGAGGTGACCCCACATGGCACAGCAGACCTCTCCTGCCACTGCTCCCCTCAGCAGTGTACTTTATAGAACTGTCTGTTCTGGTTCCCCACTCTGTCTCTGGTGAAGTCTCTCACCGCCCTTGCACCTCTGGCTATACCCCATTTCTGTATGCATAAATAAGTATTTTTTTTAAAAATGAAGATAAGGGAACACAATACATCAGTATCCCTGCCTTTTATCTTCATTACCCCTAATTTTATGATATACTTCATGTATGCTTTGTAATTATAATTTGTATGTGTACCAAGGGAAAGTACAGAAACCTATTTATTAACAACATTAAAATGAGAGATTTACATTTTCCTGGATGGTTCAATGTAAAGATAAAAAGTATGAACTAGATAACTTTGAAAATCCTCTTCTTCACAAGTGTTCTCTTTGATCACTAAGACTGATAAAAAGGAAATACGTATTAAAGGTTAAACTGTGGTGCTTAATATTTCAGTTTCTCCCCCAAAAACGGAGTTTAGAGATAGTACAATCCTTCAATGTCCTTTTCCCTTCAAGGATGACAGAACTGACCTGAGAGGAGCTGCAACACTAATGAATGGGGGAAGGAGACAGGCAAACTTAAATTTGCACTTGCACACAAATGATCACAAATGAAATCCTTTATGAACACCTTATAATTGCAAACACACCGATTTTAATTTTTCAAGTCACTTGACTTGCTGTGAAGCAAGAAAAAGCACAGAAATTCAAAGGAGCAACATACTCTCTTTTTTAAAGCTATAAAACATAAAAGATCTCTGTTGCAAGGAGATTAATTTTTTTTTAATTAACTAGGGCAGTGGGACAATTAATAGGTCCAATGGTCCGTATGATATTTTCTAATTAAAAGTTAAACATCCTTCCACGAAAAACTGTTAATGGCAGAATAAGTATCAAATCATAAACTCTACCTAATTGTAAATAATATTCTCCACACATTCAAAATGGTCCTGATGTGACTAGAAGAGCCTCATTCTTAGGTTAACATTAGTATGCATAGAAGGCAGTAGAGAGAAAACAAGTTAGTGAGTTTTTGAACAGTTACCAACATAAATATTCTCAACAACAAAGTATAAAAAGATATGAACTTTTTCTTTTTATCTGAGGTTAAAATAGGATTTATTTCCCTCAGGGGTAATAGACTCTCATTTTAGCTCACCAGAGGTATATTTCGCATGCAAAATACAAGTAAATCAGAGTTAAATAAATTAATACTGTATTCAAATGCAAGACGCATTTTAAAATGCTAAAGTTTAATAGCAAAAGTTTAGAGTACATAATAAAATATTCTAGGCAAAATGTGACTTAAAAAATAGATAGGTATCAGATTAAAACTATATCAAAATAAAAGATAAAAGTCCCAAGTAGAAATGTGATCTTCTATATACATATTTCCTCTTTAATCATAAAGATTTAAGGTCCCAAATCCTCTTTAAAATTTATACTTGAAAATCACAGTGTTTATGGAAAAACACAGGATTACGAGAACTCTGTAATGAACCTTTGAAAGTTTGTTTTGTTTTGTTTTTAATTGAAAATGAAAATGTTAAATAGAGCCCTCCCTGGTAGTGCAAAGGTTTTTAAAGCAAAGTACTGTGAAGCTATCAACAATCATTGCAGCACAAGTTCATCCCCAACCAGAGAGCTGACCCCATGGCGTGGCAGACCTCTTGCATCCACCCACTGCTCCCCTCAGCAGTATATTTCTGTGGATCTGCCTGTTCAGCTCCCCACTCTCTCTCTGGTGAATCCTCTCACCCTGCACAACTCTGGCCTGTACCCCAGTTCTTGTATGCATAAATAAATTAATCTTAAAGAAAAGCAAAAAATAAAATGGTAAATAAAGTTCAACAGTGGTATTTTAAATTAGTACTCTAGTTGGTTAATTCCTAGTCACACATTATCATAAAAAGACTTCAAGATTTCCTTCTGTCTATATTCAGTAAGATAGTTTTAAATTCAATTAACTTTGTAGTATTATTCCATTCTTTTCTACCCCATCCTGGTCTACATAAATATGCAATGACTAATTCTACTACCAAGTTGCTGACTCTTCCCACTTTCTGGACTACAAAAAGGTTGTCATCTTTTTATCTTATAAATATATACTAAATTATTGAAGCTTTCCACCAATATTTAAAGTTCTGTGATCTTAGCACCACTCTATGACAATTTAGTAACAAAAGATACCAGAAAACAAAACTTGGTAAAGTGGATCCTCAGTCATATAAACAAGCTTTCTTCCCTTTCAAAGACATCCAAGAACAACTCAAAGGTGGGATTTCTTGTCCCAGCTTTTCTTCTCTCTCCTTGTGCTAAAATATATTATTTTTCTTTTTTGCAGTCAGCTTTATCCCCAATTGAAATAATTTTAAGTAAAATTCTTATAGTCACAGAAAAAGGCAAATGTTGACTATGAAGAATCTAAACTTGATTTAAGAACAGAGATCTTCTATGAACCACTCACTACCCCTAGTTTAGTGAAGAACAATGCATACAAGCTGATCTACATATCTACTTCAGCTTACAGAGCCTTGAAGTATATAGAAACACATCTTTTTAGTATTTAGTACAAAAGACTACCATTAACGCTTGGCTTAGAAGATAACCTGAGGTTTGATGGATTTGAGATACTCGACATATAATGTAGGAAATGTAATAGGGATGGTATTTCTTATTGATCTGGTCTCATTAGTGTGCACTAAGCTAAACATCAACATCATGATTTTCCTGGGCATCCTCTTAAAAATCACTGCCTCAGACAAAACTGCAAAATTGGTTAAGTTTTGTTTTCATAGTCTATACAGGGCAATTTAAGAGTAAATTTAATGGGATAACGGGAGATCTGAACAGGCCATCAGTCAGAAAACAGATAAAGCAACCAAGTGAAGAACAACTAAGATGAAACAGAAAGAAGGAATTTACGTAAAATAACTAGCAATTTGAAAAAGGTGTGATACTATTTAGCAATAGTTACCACACTATGATGTCCTGGATTAAATTTACCCCTGCATTTGCCCTATCTAGTATCATTTACAACCACCCCTAGCAAAGAAAATCTCCTTCCCAATACCCTATACTTATATCAACCAGCCATCCAATTCAGTAGCAGTTTGGCACATGTAGCTATTTAAATTACTTAATATAGAATCTATTTTAAAAGTTAATAACCGGTAGCAACTGCTACCTCTCAATAATTCAAGAACAAGAGATGGCTAGTGGCTACACTGGGCTAGAAGTATACATAACTCCTCACCCAGACTAGGTAAGCCTGTTTAAAACAACACGTCTCTCTCAAAAGGCACTTGAGAAGGCAGACTTGCTCACTGTCTCCATCCTTACCTTCTATATTAATAAGCTCCACAGTGTAGTGAAGAATCATGATGTACAAGCCACAAGATAGACTCTATGTTTTGCCTCATTAATCCTCTCTCTGTTCTGAAGAAATAGAAAAGCAGCAGGCATCACCCATGTTTTATAGGTGAGGGCATCAAGGCACAGAAATTAACCTGCCTGAGGCTATAAAGTCAATAAGAGAGTCACAAATAAAAGTTGGATTCCCTAACACCCTGACCAGTGCTCTGTTCATTAAAATAGTCGTGGCTGATTGAAGAACCCAACAATAGAAAACTATTCCGTGTCCTGACATAAGCAACCACTTTCTCTAGAAAACAGCTCTCAATACCCACAAGAGGATCCTATCTGTAAGGTATAGATACCTGAACTGTGTATGTATGTGTGTGTGTGTGTGTGTGTGCGCGCGCGCGCATATGTGTGTAAAAGCAGGGTGAAAAAAGCCAGAAAAATATGTACCCCTTGAACTTGACACAACATTCACACTCCTATCACATACTAAGAGATAAAGAATATTTGCATACCCAAATGAACAATAACAAGATACGGTACATTCCTGCATTATAAACTTGTGTTTTAATTATTTTGTATGGTTACCTATTAAAAAAAATAAAAACTACAACCAAGTTCTTACTCTCTAAGAAGAGTAAGGCTGACTTTTGTATAAACTAAGCTTACAGAAGTAATGAGAGCACAAAGAGACAAGTCTTACATTTTCATTTCACCTACCTCATTCACTGAAAAGAGTAAAATAGTATGTAGGGAGACATGAACCAATTTATAGATTAAATATAAAAAAATTCATGTATGGCATTTACTTGTGATACTCTTGACAATGGCAATTTTTAAATCCAGCTACTAGCATTCACTAATGTGTCTTTAAGCCCTGATGCTACAAAATAATTTACACAATGCCACATCTGAATGGTGTGAAAAACCTTAATAATTCAACTGCATTTGCTGCACAACTGAATTCTTTCATATTTTGATGATTATTACCCTAACTGCAGAAAAATAAAATGGAGTGCCATATTTGAAATAATTCTAAAGTATTCAGCAAGACAAAACAATCATTTCATGATACTAGTTCTCTTATTAATAAATCTAATCAACCTACAGAATATAAAAACTAAGTGAATTTTACCAGAAATTCAAAGCTTCCAAAAGTTAACTGTTTCTGAATTAGAAGAATGAATCCCTCTCAAATACTAAAGTATCATAAAGAAACAGAGCAAGAATGCTGATTTAAATCCAGAATATAGTGACCATCTCTCAACTAAGTTATGCAAGAAAAAAGAGACCAGCACAGGTAGTAAAGCCTTTGCTTCATCACAGACTCTGACTCAGAATATAAGTCAACAAAAAAAGCTTTTACTCAAACTACTTACACAGCACTCCTGGAGGCTCCATATGACAGTAAGAGCTTGACTATATCCACATGTCCATTCTTGGCTGCATCATGAAGTGGGGAGTCATTCTGATACCCGGTGGTATTCACCAGTGCCTTGTGCTGGAGCAGCAACTCCACAACCTTCAGGTGCCCATGATTGCAGGCTTCATGCTAATTACATGAAAAAAATAGGAGTGAGAAAAGTGGTGAGGAAGAGGATTGGGTAACATCACAGTAAAACTGCATTCAAAAAAATAAATGTGAACGTCAGATAGTAAACTGATTCTCACCTAATTATACATACAAATCATTAAGTCGCTGACAGAGTAAAATTCACATTTAATGATTTCTGTGACAAGATACAAAATGATCACAACCCATGGGGGTTAAAATGCTATCATTTGAGCTTGGGTCAAACAATTCTTTTTAAAGAAAATCTATCCTTAATCCAACTATTGCTTCTAAATTGTTGTACAATTAAGAAACTGAAAACAAGGAAACAAATAGAAAGTATTTAATGACCAGACCATCGGTGAAATTCCCCAATACCCAATAGCATTCCTAAATCAGGTGTTCAGCTATGCACTAAGTGGTACACTCAGATACCACCCAACAAAGTAAATATCCTAGGAGTTTATAAGGCAACCCTCTCTAGTTGCTGAAGCACTAGATTATTTGGCTGGTGTCAGTGATAAGTAACAGGGAGAAGGTGCACAGAAAGAACTTACTGAATGAATAGCATAACTAGAACAATGGGATGTTCAAAGATGACTCACATGCAAATCTTTCCTTATGTCTAATGAAGTAGCAATGCCACTGCTGTATTCAATTTCTTCATACTGTGATTTTAAAGTATATCTATTCAATTAATGATAAATGATGCTATTTTAAGCAAACAATTTAAGGCTTTCTCTAGGAGAAAAGAATTCATATAAGCAACGTCCTTTACATCACTCACACTCTTTACTACCCATATGACTTAATTTGGCAAGGAGATATCATTTATTTATAACTTTAAGCTTTATCTACACCTGCCTCATGAAAGCCTTACCTTAGGTGCTAAATTTACAGTTCATAAGATAAGGGCATCCACCTAAACCACTGCACTTCCTGTGGCTGCACTCAAATTACAAGCTGTTGTTTTAATGTAGCCAAAACAAATAGGACATGCTTCCACATATTTATTCTTTCTTTTTTCTAGACTATTCGTCACACTGCATTTTTAGTAGTAATAAACAAAAACTTTTTAAAAATGTTTAAGCAAAGATTTCTACTGCCTCTATAATTTGCAACTAAATAGAGCATAACTGAGAAGACAGAACCACAGGAAAAATCACTACTTTGTGACACATTCCTATACCCAGTTCCTCTCACCTTTTCCCCAAGAAAACTGGCTCCAATAATATGCACTGCTGTGGGATGACACCTACTATCACTTGTAGTAATGACCTCTCTCTATATTAACTAAATTCAGCAACATAATTTAACTAGATTCCTAAATCTAGTCTAAAGGTAGTCAATTTCTTGGTGGTCTTAAATGAAAAGCAAAATGAAACTGTTTTCTCTTAATTGGTGAAAATGTTAAGTTCTTCAGATCAAAAAGAGAATATGTACATGGCAAAGAATGAGACAAGATTAACTTTAAACTCTAGCAACTATAAAACATAAACAGAAAGAGAATAGAAAACTACCAAAGGTGTCCATCCAGCATGGTCTTTAACATTTGGGTCGCTTCCATTTTTTAAGAGGTATTCAACAGAAGGTGCATCGCCCTGGTGAATAATGAAAAAAAAAAAAAAAGAAATTAATCAATTTTTAAAAAGAAATAAATGATATTTAGTCGTCTTTTTAAGATTCTGTCTTTTGTAAGCTAGAATAAAATTTCAACATCTTTTCATATTTTATTGCTTGTATGATAATATTACCTATGTATGAATTGCTCTGAGTTGCAAGTGATGGAGCATTACAATCTAATTTGTGTTGTTAGAAAAGTGGTATCAAAATTTATTTCAAAATACCAAGTCAAAGACATCACAGAAAAAAGTTGACTGATCATGACTGTTTTTAAAAGTTCTCATTTGTGAAGAACATCTTTTATACATGTATGAAAATGATTTCTATTTGTCACTTAAAACAAAGCTACTCACTGAAGCCAATGTGACAAGTGTCTTCGAAACTTGCCTTACTGGTAGTGACTCTATCCTCAATACATTAGATTACTTGTTTAAAGATTTTTTCTAAGCAAAAGGAAAATTTATTTTCTCCATAAATAACTGACACAGCTTACTCTAAAAATGGCTGAATAAATAAAGGTTACATGACAATGTGTTCAATTAATTTGTAAAGTCCCTCTTAACGGAAAAGGAATCTTTTCCCTCCAACTACCAGTCCCAAAACTCTTTTGAAGTGCTTTTTTTCCTCTGTTGGCTAATAATCTAGAAATCACTAAGTCCCCTGAATAAAGTAACCTACAACATACATTTTTATGTTCCTAAATTAATAAAATGGCTTTAAATATCTAATGGATCTAAAAAATGATCATTTCAATTAAATTGTTCCAATAAAAAAATCATTTCCCATTGTACAAATTCTATGCCTCTAGAATTAACATGTATTTAACAACTTTTGCTCTATATTCAAGTCAGTCCCAACTGAGTTCAGGAACATCTGTCAAGATAAAAGTTGAATTTCTTAAAATTCCAACACTGGGGTAGATAAACTGTTATAATCAAACAGTCCTAACCAACATGAAAATAAACACAGAACATAAAAAATGAAAAATTTCCTCATGCTAATTCTACATGATAATCAAAAAAACATATAAACCTACAGAAGCTCATAAAAATAACAAGTACAATTGGAGAATGAAAGCGCCACATGCAGTCACACAGGAACAGTGACAATTTAGAGACTAAAAGCAGAACCTCTTCAGTTTGCTTACACAGTGGGGTTTTTTTTCTTTCATATCACATCTTCAAGTCATCATAGGTATCTTCTGCTAACAAATCCAGACCCTAAATGTATACAACTAATTTGTAAACTACTTGCTTTTTACATTAAATCTGCTTTTTCCACCCCAGTACTTAAGTTTGTCATATTTTCACCATTTTACTTTATGTAAATTTAATATCATGCACACAAATAAAATTATGCTAATTAGACAGGATCCAAAGTAACTGGGTAAGCTGAAACCAATATGAAGTTTCTGGGAAATAAATTAACTTCTGCTTCTGATTTCTTTAAAGTATTTCCTTCTCTAACATAGTATTTTCTCAGAAATAAGCATTCACTTTTAGGCCTCTCATGACTCAAATGAATAATTGCGATTTTTCTTAAACTACAGCAAGAAAAAATAAATCATCTAAGGAATGAAAAAAAAATCATCTAATGAATAACATTTACCAAGACTTACAAAAAAATATTAAGTGGATTCAGTATTTCTGAATTATAACTCAGGGGCTGAAAATAAGGGAGCCTGTATGTCAGAATTAATTTTCTTATTGCTAACCTTTCATGCAAAGGAAAGACCCTTCACACATTCGTGCATATTATAATGTAAATTAACTTTTCCAAAACATACAGGCAAAAACAACTTTTTCTTTATTATTAAGGTTAACTACTCTAAAGTATTATTATTAATAAACATCCTTACAAAAAACAGCACAGGGTACTACAATAAAATGCAGTAAGGATGACTTATGGTTAAGCAATTCCATATCAAATGAACTAACCACATATCTGAAACTTCTTTAACTACTAGATGTTGCTTAAAAATAATCGTGTCATCTGGAATAGCATTCCAAAACACATTAATTACTTTCCTGGCCTCTTTATCAGTGTTCACTGAATAAAATAATTTTGCAGATGGTTCTGACAACCTGGTCATCACAGTAATACCATTATTAAAACAGTGGGTGAGGCCCTCCCTGGTGGTGCAGCGGGTAAAAGCACAGCACTAAGAAGCTAAAGCCACTTCAGCATGAGTTCGATTCATACCTGTCCCAAAGGTGAACCACATGGCGCAGCAGACCTCTCCTGACCCGCCCACTGCTCCCCTCAGCAGTGTACTTCCATGATCTGCCTGTTCTGCTCCACACTCTGTCTCTGGTGAAGCCTCTCACCGCCCCTGAGCCTCTGGCCTGTAACCCGGTTCTGTATGCACAAATAGATAAATCTTTAAAAAAAAAAAAAAAAAAAAAAACTAGTGGATGATGGGGGGGGAATGACACTGACACCAAGAAGTGTTAACAAAAATTGAAAATCAGATGCCAGGTTTGAGTTCTTCGCTTTGTCAGAAAGCTAGTATGTTGAATATGTGGTAACATGCCTTTACACACAATATAACAGGACTGCCCCAAATGATGAATTACAAATTCAAACCCTGAAAAAGACTCCTTACAAAGAAATCTCTCTAACCAAGAGATCTACCTCCCCCTTGCTAAGGTAAAAATACCATGTCATGTAAGATGCCTTCAAAATAATTATCTATTATGTCTGTATCACAAATCTATTATGACATGCCACAGTCAAATCATTCCTTTACTTCATAGTATGGTCACTGCTGTGGCATAATTTATGAGTAATCACTGCCAATTTAAGAATCTATGCTAGAGAATTCTGAGGAGATTTACTTCGGGACCTACAAATTCTCAAGTAAGGTGACATAATCAAATAACAAATCAAAATGTACTTTATGTCTAGAAAAATGTCAAATAAACACAAAAATGTTTTTATTAAATAAGAATAAACAGTATTTTTCAGTGTTAGGCATAACACTTTCTCAAAACATCTTCTGGCAAGAGCCACGCTAAAAAATCCACAGCTGGTTCCTACTGGATACTTTTCATTTGTTTATGGCCATTTCCAAGTATAGCAATTGTCCAAATATGCATTCAATATAAAATCAGTCATTACTTGATTAAATTGATTGGTTTAATAACAATAGCACTGTACACAGAATGGCACAGTAAATTGTAAAATAATTAACATTCCTCTGCTTGAAGTCGCTGGCACAAATCTAGGTCCCACAATAACGAGAGACATGTCATGGTTCAAGAATTCTGGGACCCAAAGTCTGCCCCTATAAAAAAACCTATAGTTTTTTTTTAAAGATTTATTTATTTATGCATCCAGAACTGGGATACAGAGGCGGTGAGAGGATTCACCAGAGATACAGTGGGGAGCAGAACAGGCTGACTGACTAAGTACACTGCTGAGTGTACACTTCTGTGGGGGGGGGGGGTCAGGAGAAGTCTACCACACCATGTGGATCATCTCCAGGGCAAGTGGGGATCGAACTCACACTGAAGTGGGTTTAGTTACTTAGTGTTGTGCTTTAACCCACTGTGCAACCAAGGAGGGCCCAAAAGATCTATTAGTTTTAAGTAATACAGTTTTAAGTAACAGAGTTATAATGTTTTCCTACTCTTTCCTTTAATTTCACCCTGATCTCTCTTCACATAAAAAGGTTTTTCAGATAAAATTAATAGGATAATAATCAGTGCCCATATAAAGAAAAAAAGTGCCCCCTAATTCTTATGTTAGATATAGAGACTAGGTTGACAAAAACAATTACAGGAATAGTAATTAATAGAAGTTCCTTTTGTAGATTGAAAAAGGGATTTTTCCTTAAGGGCAGGGAAATGTCAATGCACTCGGTGTTGGTGTTTTCTGACTCCTAGTTCCTTAACATTAGATCCTTTAAGATGTATATTCATTGAGCTATTAACAAAGTGATTGCTTAAATTGTAATAGCTAACTGATCAACATAGAAACATTCTGTTTATTGATAACTGATCACTATAGGAATATTGTTTGATAAATGACATTCATAGGAATATTTTGCTTGATTACTGACCACCATAGGAATATTTTGTTAGACTGGTCACTTTAGGAACATTTTGTGTATTAATTGTACCTTTTATCAATGAATGATGAATATCACAGTCTCAATAAGAGATCATAAAGTCCTGAGCTGTCTTTAAGAAAATATGATGATTGTTATCTTTTGCTTTATGCACACACTGATGTAATCTCTCCACTTGCTTATACTGTATAAATAAAGACCTGCTGGGACAATCGGCAGAAGATGATTTCACTCTAATCAGGTGTCTGCGTCTCCTGATTTTCCTTACTCTCTCCTGTTTCCCCTTACCTTCTCTCCTTTTCTCTCTCTCACCTTCATCAATACCGTCCTTTCCTGTGGGAGACCCTCCCTACCTCAGCTGAAGCTGGTCTTCAGCAATCTTCCATTTATAACAACAACATGTTTCTATACATTCACATCAAAATACCAAGTATAAACAGAGAACCTAGCAGATCTTAATTTTGATCCTGGTTAAAGGAGAATGTTCACAACATCCCAGAATTATACTAATGAATATTCTGCTTAGTTTCCATAATATAATAAAAGTACAAATAAGAATTTCAAGAATAATTCTTCATAGGGATTGCATTCAAATGGTACGGAATATATGTAAAAACTAATTGGGTAGGCTTCATGATTCTGAAAGAAGAAAGATTTGAGAACTGACAACAGAAACAGTATTTCTGACAATATAGTAACTACAGTCAGGCAGTCCAAATATTAAGGCAGTCTGGATATTTAAGAAGAGTCTTCCATTGCCAAATTACAGAGGATACAAAGGTAAGTAAGACGACTGATGATGCTTTATATTTACCCAGAAAGAAGTCTTACTTCTATAAACGGATCCAAAAATTCCTGTTCCCATGTGAAACAAAAGTTTATAAAAGCAAAAGAATGAGGAAAAAATGGGCATCTACAGTAAAGGACTAGTTAAATAATGAAAGTTTATGGAAATCTAAACTTTAAAATTTGTATAGTTGACTACAACATGGAATGTGTTTGTTCCACATAAAGAAATTTGTGAAAGATATACAAAAGATATACAAAAAAGTAAGGAAAGTAGTTAACGGGAGGGTCTGGCAACTACAGGTGACTGGGAGCAGAAATGGAGTAAAGCTTTCCAACATAGATGCTGTTATTTGTTCTTATTTTTAAAACATAAAATTACTGCTTGTGGTCCTCCCTGGTGGTGCAGCAGGTTAAAACACAGAACTGAGAAGTTAAAGCCACTTCCACATAAGTTCCAGCATAAGTTCCATCCCCTCCTGCCCTGGAGATGATCCACATGGTGCCACAGACTTCTGACCTGCCGGCTGCTCCCATCAGCAGTGTACTTTGACCATCTTCCTGTTCTGCTCCCCACTCTGTCTCTGGTGAATCCTCTCACCAGCCCTGCACCTCTGGCCTGTATCCCAGTTCTGTATGAATAAATAAATCTTTAAAACAAAAAACTACTGCATATATTTTGAAATTTAAATTTAAATGAGGGGCCCTCCCTGGTGGTGTAACAGATTAGGACACAGCACTGCATGCTAGCTGCAGCCACTTCAGGGCAAGTTCGATCCCAGCCCTGGAGGTGACCCACATGGCTGGCAGACCTCTCGTCACCTGTCCGCTGCTCCCCTTAGAAGTGTACTTTGTCCATCTGCCTGTTCTGCTCCCCACTTTGTCTCTTTGTCCAACTGCCTGTTCTGCTCCCCACTTTGTCTCTGGTGAAGCCTCTCACCGCCCCTGCACCTCTGGCTTATTCCCCAGTTCTGTATGAATAAATAAATCTTTCAAAAAATTTAAATGAAGGGTAAAACTCCAGGTAATAAAATCTGAGGAGTCATAATTGAAAACTAAATGAACATAAATAAATGCAACCAAAATTATGAAAAGAATCTATGAATTCTGAAAAAGATTTATTAAGAAGGTAGGCTATGAGCTAGATTTTGAAAGGAACAAAGGGAAAAGATGCAAAGAATATGAAGCATAGAAAAGAATACATAAAAAATTATGGTTAACATTAATGAATATATGTGAATAACTCATAAGACTAAAGTCCCATGTGACAGGACAGAAGGGTTCAAATCATGCCTGGGTGGAAAATTCACTCATTTATTCGATAAATATCAGTAACATTCTACCATGTGCCAGGTAAAGTTCTAGATACCATAGATAAAACAGTGAACAAATGTAGTCTTGCTATCATTCTAAAGCCCAACAAGAAGCAAAGTGATCTATAACCATGTAAGGAAAATAATGGGAAGAAAAGCGAAAACCTGAGGACTGTTATTTTAGAACAATCAGGAAAAATATCTCTAAAGAGGTGGTATCTGAACAGAAGCCTGAAGGAGCTGTGTGAGGCACAGGATGAACTATGGATTTTATTTAAGTGTAGGGGAGCAGAAAAATAGAAAATTCCGACAGTTCAGATTATGCTGGCTGTCCTACATAGCACTGACTACCAGAGTGTAAAAGAAAGCAGGCATGTAGTCAGAAGTTACTTCAGTGGTATAGATGGAAGAATAACTAACCTCCCAGCCCCAGAACAGTCTGTATCCTAATCCCTAGAACTTGTAAATGTTATCTTACATGACGAAAAGAACTTAATGTCATTAAGGATAAAGACCTTGAGATGTGGACATTATCTTGCATCACTTGGTGGCCCCAGACTCAACCTATGAGTGAAAACATTTTCCTAGCTAGGCCCAAGAGACAGGCCACAAGAACTCCATTCATTGTTGCTGGTGTGAAGGACTGTGGAAGATTAAGGAATGGGACAGTCTCCAGAACCTGAGAACAACCCTCAGCTGTAAGATGGAAGAAAACAAGATGGAAGAAAACAAGATGGAAGAAAACAAGATCTCAGTTCAACAACTGTAAGAAATATGCAATTTCTGGAAACATGAATAAGCAAGAAAACAGGTTCTCTCTTAGAACCTCCCTCCAGAAAGTAATGCAGCTGACATAATGACTTTCTTCTGGTGAGACCCAAACTAGACTTCTAACTTACAGAACTACAAGGAAAGCAATGTGCTTGCTAGAAGTTGGTAAGTCTACATGCAGTAATGTATTATAACAGTAATAAGGCCCAAATTCAAGCAGTCCGGGCAGGAAAAACAAGTAGCTTCTACCAAATTAGCAGCTATGGAAAGATTCTGGCCAACAAAGTTGCTCAGAGGTAAGTCTGGGGCAAGATACTAAAGAATCTTCATGTCACCATGTTCGGAGATCATTCTGCAAAGTTGTGATCAGTCAGGGAAGCCATAGTCCAAGAGGTCTGAAAAAGAAAACTGTAGGTTTCTCTGCCGTATCTCAGTGCATATATCAGCCCACACAACACAAGTGTCCAATCTTAAACAAGGGAAACTGGAACTGTGAGTCTAGCAAGATGCTTAGGGCAAAGTAACAACATCTATCTTTTGATACAAAAACACTGGTACTGCCCTTTATTTGCTTTGCTGCCTGAAAGGTCATTAGATCTATATTAATTATTCAGTGGTAGTAACTCTTCTCTGCTCCTTCTTGCATTTTAATTTTAACCTCAGAGCTACCTCAATCCTTTGCTAAAGTAGAGGAGTCAAAATTACTAAGATAGCAGAATTAAATATTCACTTCTCTACTTTAGAAGGTATTCAATTCCAGGCTACAAACTAAAAAAAAAAAGACAAATGAAATGACTACTATTTATAAAAAGGTAAGTATAAATTCACTGATTTTTTTCTCCCAAGTATTCCCCAAGCATTTTTCCCAAGTAATATTAAAATCAACCTGGGGTGATTTAATACATTAAATTCACAATAAATTTTTAAAATACAATGCTACTGTTAGTGGTTTTAGAAATCCATTTACTTTTCTTAAATGTGCTGTTATCAGAACAGCCAGCTAGTGACAATAGTAGTATCTGAAAAGTTAAAAGAGAATCAAAATGTGTAATTCTAGTTCTGGCAAAATTCTAAGAAAACTGACAATAAGACAGAGCCTCAATGAAGCAATTGTGAATGTACAAATGGAGTAAAGCCACAAAGACAACATCACACCACCAATTTTTTGCTGCCTTAAGTCTCTACCGTGGATTTCCCATAGTCTAACTACAGTCTGTGGGCCAGACACCTGATGTTTCATATTGTTTATGGCTGCTTTTGTACTATGATGGCAGAGATGGGAGTAGTTAAAGAAACTACATGGCCTGTGGAGCTAAAAATATTTACTCTAATTGTTCCTTTAAACAAAAATTTTCCAAACCATAACCTAGGCACTATAGAGCAAAAGAAGTAGATATTTGCCCATGGTCTGAAAATAACACCCAGAAAGCAAATTGTAGAAACTAACGCACCCTATATTCTTATGTATCAGTCAGAAAAATGGACAAAAGAATAATTACTATGCTAGCAACAGGTGAAGCCTTAACAACATTATGTTGACTTACAAAAGCTTATATGTATTATATATTTTTATACTATGTATATGTATATTTTATACACAGATGACAAAAATTTTAATTTTCTAAGTTTAGCTTTGAAGATTCAAGCTAAAATGCAAGCAAACTACAAAAATTCAAGCATTCAAAAGATTTGTAATCACTAGCATAGTCATAGTGAAAGATCATCCCTTGTTGGCCTCACCTATAAAACATTACATTTGTCATTTATGAAGATAAAAAACTAACAGTTGGTAAAAGATCATTTTTGTTCTCTTCCCTTTCTCCACAGGAAAATATAAAAATCTCCTGCTCTGAATGTCTATTCTATGTTCTTTCCAGATGTTTTGTGTTGCTTACCAGTCTTATGACTTGGGGGTCTTCACGGGGTTCCCTCTAACCTCCCAACATTCTCTATCCATGCAAATGAGAGCGGAGGTCAAAAGCTTTGGTGATAACTGTTCTCTTTCCCAGGCAGTACATGTATCAATTTCAAAGATTAACCACCTCATGCTCACAAGTGAACAAGTTTCCTAAAAAATGAACACTGCCACACCCCAGGTGCTGAGACAATACATAAGAGATTCAACTCCAATGAATAGCGGGGGGAAAAAAGAAACGGCAGGCTGTAGAACACAGAGAAGCTTCTTTGTGATGAACCACAGGAGCCACTGGTAACAGTCATATTTCTAGGTTATTGGTGAAATGTAGCAACCACATCTTTCAACTAGCACATCAGGATTTTCAAACATACATAGAAGCTTGCTGCCCCTCACAATGCCTGAACTCTTATGCCAAGACGTATGGCCAGTACTGCCATGCAATTTATTGTATTCATAAAGAATGAAAAGAAAGGGTCAACAAATTGATGAAGCTTGAGAAAGTCTATTCTGGAAAACACAAAAACTAAAGCACTTAAAGCAGAAGCTAAACTACTGAAATGATCAGTTATCTCATGTAAGATCATGGCATGCAGGAGCCACCACTCACAGTCCCTATGAATTGTGTTTCTCTAGTTCAAAGTTACCGTGTGTGGTAAGTTAACTAGTAGTCATGTGATTTTCCACACTCTCCAAAGTAACTTTTATATTAGGTCTCATTCAGAAAATGCATTTCAGAGTAAGCATCCTACCTTAATAGAAGCAATATGGAGCAAAGTCTCTCCTCTGTGATTTCTCTTCACTGCCATAAGGTTACTTGGTGACAGCTTCATAGTTGAAGGGCTAGATATCATTCGTCTATAACTTGCACTATTCAGTGTAGAAGGTGGTGTGCCTGGCAAAAAGTTAATGGGTTCATTTATTACAGTGCTGTTTTTCCTTCTTGATTTGTCACCAATCTTAAGTCTGCTAGAAGGTGGTGAAGAACAGTCAGGCAATGGTATGTTTTCTGAGAGCACTGTCTGTTTAACAGAATTTCCACTAGTGCTTGGAATGCTGCTTCTACATCTCTTAGATATGGGACTGGAAAGCCTTCTGTTGCAAGATCCACGTCCATGTTTTCCATTACAATTTAAGGGCAAGGACTGCTTGGATGGAAGATCATTTTCACAGAGATTCTCCTCAGGAACTATTTTATTCTTACTCTCAATTTCTGGAGACACTATATGTTCAGCCAATGGTAAGGATATCTTTGTTAAGCTTTCAAAACCTTCAGACTCTATTACAGAACCACTTGCTAGCAAGTCTATTTCACCATTTCTTGGAGGGCTAGCGCTAAGAGATGCTTGGCTGGAGAAGGCGACCAGTTTTTTCTTGCACTCTTTAGACTCAAGTTCACAGTGTTCTGTTTCTGCCTCTAAATTCCATTCTTGGTGGATTTCAATTAAAGTTTTCTTTTTTTGTTTTTTTCCAGACCTTGTAGAAGTCTTTTTAGGTCTATCAGAAGTATTTGCTGGAGGAGTTGTAGAAACAAATTCATACAATGAGGCCTGCTGAGTATTTTCATTATTTACCATCTGAGGCTGGGTTTGTACCGAAATTTTACTCACAATATATCTGACCTTCTTACTTCGAGGGCTAAACCACATTTTTATTGAATTCTTCTTATTTTCTGCATCATTAAATAAGCTTTTCCTAGATGTATCTTCTTTCAAATCTGACAGAAAAAAGAAAATCCATTTTATGAACATAGCCTTTTCCCATGTTGAACTCTCAAAGAATTTTGTTGACAGTTCTCCTAAGATAAAGCAGCCTTTTATTTGTGTACCTTTCTCTCTATGAATTCCTTGCGAGTAGAAATTCACTCATTCAACAAATATTTACAGGATTCTACTCTATGTAGGCAACATTCTAGGGGCTGGAGATACAACAGAGAACAAAATACAGAACTTATATTCTACCAATGATAGAATATACAAACAAATTCGTAGGACATACATTATGATAAAACAAAATCCAACATCCATTCACGATTGTTGTAACATGCCCAGTACTTAGGGATAGGAAGGAACTTCGACTAATGTGTAATGTGAAATACACATTAAAAAAATACAACTAGTATCATGCTTAATTGTGAGAGACTGGGAACTATTATTTTGTTCCTACTATCAAGATCAAGGAAACATGTCTATTCTCATCACTCTTATTCAAAACGCTATTGAAAGTCCAGTCAGTAGGATGTAAGAAAAATATGTAGGGGGCCTCCCTGGTGGTGCAAGGGGTTAAGTCTCATCACTATGAAACTATTGGCAGTCAAGTTCTATCCCCAGCCAGGAAGCTTACCCACATGGCCCAGCAAACCTCTCCTGTCCTGCCCACTGCTCCCCCTCAGCAGTATATCTGTCAATCTGCCTGTTCTCTCCCCACTCTATCTCTGGTGAATTCTCTCACTGCCTCCCGCCTCGGACCTGAACCCCAGCTCTTATATGCATAAATAAATACATCTTTAAAAGAAATAGAAAAATATATAAAAGGCACATAGATTGTTGAGGAAGATATAGAACCGCAAGTATATACAATATAATTGACTATGCAGAATATCCAAGATAGTCTTTAACACTAAAAAACAAGTGACCTTAAAAAGGTCAGAAAATACAGTCAATATACCAACTTCAACTATACTTCTATATATGAATAAACATAAGTTAGAATTTTTTTAAAACGGTATATAATCACACCAAAAAACCATAGGAATAGTTCATTATAAACCCAATAAAATATGTACAAGTTATGTTTGCTGAAAATTAACAAAACATGTATGAAGGAAATTCTGCATGAACAGAAAGATATACTATGGTCATAAATCAGAATACTCAATCTGTTTAAAATGTCAATTCTCCCAACTGTTATCTATAGACTATCAACTATTCTCAATGAAAATCCAGCAGGCTTTATAAAACAGAGAAGCTAATTATGAAGTTTACATGAAAAAGCAAAGAAATTAAAATGGAAAGGCAAAAGACTAGAACCCAAAACTGAAGAACAAAGTTGGAGAACACACACTAATTTCAATGTATGTCAAGAAAAATGAATCCAAAGGATACAGTCACAATTCATTAAATACCATCTAATATACTCTCAAGTAATGTAAATCAAAAATTAATGAGAATCAACAAACTATGTACACAAACATACTAGAGTAAGCAAAAAGAATCAAGACACAAAAAAGTGCATTAAAATAGCTGAAATTAATCTAATATGTTAAATTTTAATGGCAAATATCCCAATGGGAAAAGGCGGCAGTTACTGGAAAAGGACAAGAAGGGTTTCTAGAATACTGTTTATTCTTCTGGGTGCATTCAGTTTATGAATATTCATCAAGCTACACATTTACACTTTAAAAAGAAATTTTCAAGAAAAACACATTAATGACCAGAAATTAAAACACAAAGATTCAGTTTTAAGAGTTTCTTTTTTAAAAAAGCCGCTGTCCCAAGATACATGTTGCATTTTGTACTAACACCTTGCTGTGTTAGCCAAGGTCATCAAGAAGTCTGAGGAAGCTTTTTGAGTTAAGATCTAAATGACAATAGGGAAGCAGCTATGTAAGGATCTAGGAAAGTATTTCCAAGCAAAAAGAAAAACAAATGCCAGTGTACTAAGAGATGGGAATAAATTTAGCACATTCGATGGACAAATAGTCAATGTAGCTAGAGCTTGGAGGACCGGAAAATGAAGTCAGACAGGTAAGTAGAAGTATTGTATAAAAACCTCAATATGAGGTATTTTTGTTTTTGCTCTTCATCCCATCAAACGGTTAAGTGAGGGGGCACAGTCAGTCCCTTGGTAGTTATACAATTGCCTGCCCTTTCTTTGTCACTTACAAGGAACTCAACATACAACCATATTAAGAATATGGCAATTTCAGTTCTACCCCGTGACCTCAGAAGGGGAAGACCTCTAGAAGTTGACTCAATCAAAAGTGATCAATGATTTTTCAAAACGTTTCCTATGTGACAAACATCTATAAAAAACAAAAATGACTGCTTGGAAAGCTTTGGAACTGGTGAAGATGTGGAGGTGCTGGGAAAGTGGAGCACCCAGAGAGGGCACACAGCTCTATGTTGTCTCCCAGATAGTTGCTCTTGTGTATCTTTCACCTTGGTACTTCCTGAGTTATGTCCTTTTCTATTGAATCAGTAAGCTAGTAAGTAAATGTTTTCCTGAATCCTGTGAGCCACTCTACTAATTAATCAAACCCAAGGAAACTGTGGAAACCTCCAATTTCAGGATTGTGGAAGCCTCCAATTTCAGTTGGTCAGAGCATGGGTTACAATCTTGACTTGTGATTGGCACCTGAGGTAGGAGAAAAGATAGAGGTAATCTCATGGGACTAAGCTGAACTGCAATACTATCTCCAAGTAGTATGAGAATTCAATTAACTGAAGGTTATCCAACTGGTGGCCTGAATGGCCTGATGTGTATAAAACCCACACATCTGGATAAGAATGAAGTAAGGAGAGCAGAGATATACAGAAGAATTTCTTTACATTATATATACTGTATTCTGTTTTATACCTAACAATCTTGTCCACTAACAGATGTTCAAGAAAAAGCTATTGAATTAATTTGGATAGACTTCCAGTTTTCTAGTTCTGGAAATAAACACTGCCAAATGTCTTTGTTTTCACCTTTAAGCCCATTCATATTCTCAACAATAAAATTCCCTTAAAATTCTCTCCCACCCTATTCATTCATAGAAGTAAAACCCACCAAAAGTTGTTAACACATAAGAGATGTTAAAAAAATTATTTGATAATTCTCTCAAAACTTAACAAAGCAAGTTAGAACTCATTTCAAGAACTGAAAGACAGCTTGAGTATCCTCCAATCCAATTCTCTCATTTTGAAAATCATGAATTAAAGAAAAGAGAGGAAGAGAGTCTGCTAACTCCCAATAAAGTGCTCTTTTCTCCACACAAATTGGTTTATCAGGAAGCCCTTTTGAGTATAAAAAGGACACAGGAAAGGCTGTGTAGCTAAAAAATTACCACCTGAAAACAGAATAGTGACTAGCAAATAACTTTATATTGACTGTCTTCATTATCCAAATTAAAGACAGTATATTAATAAACTCCTTTGACAAACTGAGACACTTGGAATATGTTCCTATTAAAAAAGAAAAAAGAAGCTGGCCCTCCCTGATGGCACAGCAGGTTGGAGCGTTGCAGTGTGAAGTCAAGCCAATCAAACCAAGGCCACGTCAGTGCAATTTAGATACCCGCCCCAGGAGGTGATCCACGTGGCATGGCATAGCAGACCCCTAATTTCTGGCCTGCTGCTCCCCTCAGCTGTGTACTTTGCCCATCTGCCTGTTCTGCTCTCTACTCTGTTTCTGATAATCCTCTCGCCACCTCTGCATCTCTGACCTGTAGCCCCATTTCTGTTTGTATAAATAAAATCTTTAAAAAAATTTTTTTTTAAAGGAAGCTACTGTAATTATGGTGTTTTCCCAGAGAAGTCACTTTGCATTCAAGATGAAGAGAGTACTATATAAAATGTTTCTTACATTACAGAACCTAAAGAAAAATGAATCAAGCTTTAAAACTAAGTTAATTTAAGAAGAAAGCCAATAGAGCTTGTCATAATGACTGGTAACAACTACAGCACATGAAATAAATGCATCTCATGTCATTAAGGTGTTATATAAAATTGTCACATGTGCTTATTATTGAGACATTTTAGTACTTTAATAAATATATTTCCTATTATTCCCAGGAATAAATTTATTTTCAACATTATCATGTCTTAAAATTTTAGAAATTATGATATATTATTTTGTATTCCTTTTATTGTTGGATATTTTATTCACACAGATCATTTTGTTTTATTACTTAAACAGTGTAAAATTACTAAATGCATCAGGTCTAGTAGACAAAAATCTCAAATCTGTAAAATTTCAACATTTCTTTTGCCTATATTTTGTACAAAATAAAACCTACTATATGATTTGTCAAATAAAAAACAGAACCATATAAATAGCAAGAAAATAAATTCTGAAGAACAAGTAATCATTTAACTCCAGAAAGTTTAGAGACATGATCCTTGCCTGTCGAGACTTCACCCTCTCCGCTCCAGTCCAAGCAGCAGCCCTGCCTCCTGGTGGAGATGGAAGCAAGGGACTGAAAAGAGCCAGAAAAGCCCAGTGGAGGCAGTGCTCCCACATTCCTTTAACACTCAGCTGAACATCACCTGGTCCATAAAGTGATATTAGACAAGATCCTGGAAATCAAAAGAAACATCCACTCACACAGAGACTTTATATCAAAATTCAACAAGGTCTTTTCTCACCAAGTCATTTCTGATATAATCTAAAATCAAGAGGGAAGGTCAAAATGAAGTGTTAATGGGATTACTTTGTAAGATGATTCAAAGGATTACAAAGATACAAAGGTTACTCCTCTGGTAGTCTATATAAAAACTTGTATTAGATGTCTATAACTGATTTTCAACACAGATGATGACACTTTCAATTGAAAACAAGTCAAATTCTAAAATCTTCAATATTTATAAAGCTTACAAAATGTAGATTTAGATAATGAATGGAAAATTAAGGCTTGTAGTTTGTAACAACATATGCAATAAACTGAAAACTCTATATCTAAATGGACAAAAAATTTCACTCTCAGGTGTAAACATTTCCTAACTTACAAAGGAATACAGAAAGTAAATAATCAAGTAATTATATGTGCAAAGTAATTTCACTAATCATCCAATAATAATAAAATCACCCAAGACTTTAATTATGTATCTTGTCCTAAGTAAGGACCTCCACAACAAAAATAGTTATAAATTCTGAATTTTAAACAGTATATCTAAGGCAAGACTGCAAAACACCACCACTGCAGGAACATAAATCATACCATTAACAACTACAACAGATTTTATGGGTGACTGCATCTAAGCATGATAAATTATTATATTCGTTTCACAAAGAAAATATTGTTCCTCCCTCTACATTTCTTAATGATGATATTTAAAAGAATTCTATTCTCTGAATTGAAATATTTCTAAATACATCCCAAAATATCAAGGAAGAGATACACATGTTGCTAAGGAATTGCTTAGCCAAGTTTTTTTCTTAAAATTTAATAAAAAACTAAAGGGGAAGCAATTAGAAAATGTGATTTAGCTATCATTAATCTACAAAGCATCATAATGATGTACATTGTGTGCCTTTCAAATTATTCTCTATTATAGGTTTCACTGCAGAAGTTGAGAATCTCTTTGACAAACTATTCCCTTATTAAAAATCAAAAGAAAGTGTTTTGCTACCATCTGTGCAACATTAACGCCTTCACTAAAGAATGATTATTTTGTAAGAAGTATTCAGTTCTGAAAAAAAAAAGTATTTAGTCCTATTTTTACAAAAAAAAAAAACAAACAGCAAACAGCTATTCAAACACTCATCTTCATCTATTATAGAGAAGTCACAGCACATAAGAAACACTATGTAATTCGCTAAAGACTAGCATCTCTCCTGAAAACAGAAACAGAAAAGGAAATTGTGATCTTATGAAAGCATAATCAAAGTATTTCTTTAATGCCAACATATGCTTCAAAGAAGATGACCAGCAGCTGCAAGGTCTGATTTAATATGATGAGGGGGGCAAGAAAAAATACAAACTTTTCAATTTAACTCCATTAGTAAAAAAAAGCCTATTACCTTGTGAAGAATATGGTAAAAATTATCCATAAATGGTTGTCAGAAAAATTTATGACAATCTCTTCTCTTAAAAGTACAATGAACTGAGAAATATCTGTTCAAGTATTTAGAAGCTCATTTTAGAAAGTATTACTATAAATCAGGCTTCTTTATCTCCAGTATACCAGATACTATGTCCATGATTTGACAAGTTCTTCCTAATTACCCACCTTCATTACAGTAATTATATATTTTATAATAAATGTAGGTAACAAGGTTCATTGGTAAGATAAAGTGTAACATACAGGGCGTTAAAAAAAAAAAAAAGAGAGGAAAGTGTGAGCTGTTCAACCATTTCACTTATTTCATCATCTTCAATGCTTGGTCATTTAACAGAACCAAAGGATGTTGGAGCTGGACCCTAGGGATCACTGAATATAACAGCATCAGTTTATAATGAGGTCCTTTTCCAACTTTCTTACTATAAAGATGGTATTTGTTCTCAACTATTAGTTCCTTCTACCTATCCACTTTATGTCCCTTTACTTCACAAGTACTTGATAGATAATAAAGTAAGAACTTCATAATATATACTGAATGGATTAAACTATAAGGAAACAAAGAGAAATACACCCTATAGTCCTCATAAGACTTTCAAAGCTAATTTGCTTTGGGGGATCTCAAGAGGAAAAGCTGATAATATTAATAGAGCTTACAATCAGTAGAAAGGTTCTGTACATAGAAATTAAAGGTCTGGTTAGATTAACCTAAATTCATTATCCTCTTCTATAAAAGGAGCAGAGGATGCTATCATTAAAATTGTTGCTAAATTGTTGAAACCAAAACTTAGGAATTTTTTTTAAATAGTTTTAATCTAGTCTTTTGGATCTGAATTAATTTTAGCACTGCCAATTTTTCCTCCAACTCAATTCAACAAATCCCATAAATACCTTTATTGAGGTCCCAGATCTCATCTACAGAATATAGGGACTAAGGTCATCGTCCAACTTCTAAGATTCTGTTCATATGTTATGATCAGAGTGAAACTTCAATTCATTTAAAAAGAAGCATGATGAAGTCAGCAATGCTAAACTCTGATCACAAAGTAATATTACTCGTTATAAAAAGAAAAATGGACACAAAATGACCTTTGGAAAATTAATCACCATAGTCCTGTCACCAAAATCTACAGCATTCTGAAAGGTCTCAGGTTCCATATAAAACCTTTTCCTACACCCACGAATTTTCCTAGATGCATTTCTTATTGGCGAAATATTCATGGTTCACAAAAAAAAAAAAAAAAAAAAACAAACTGATGATTCGAAAACCAACAAAAAAATCAAAAATACAGTTTACTGCAGCACTGTAATATTTTTAGAATTGGAA